CATTCCTGGCCTAAATAAAGCAATACCTGGCCAGAAATAAGTCATACCTGGTTCTAGTCCCATGTCTGGGAACGACTTTTTTTTGTAGATGCCTATCAACTGCCCTCCAACAGCACAAATTTGTCAACTTTTACAATGAAGGTGTAACCATACGCGGGAAGGATCGTCGGGTCCGATTGCAGTTCCACGGTCTCTGATGGGGACGTATTGGAGCATCCTCAGTCCGAACCTTTAACGAGTATCAGATCAGAGGGCTTCAAAGCAAACACATTGACGTGTGATCGCGTGATCATGTAATGATTGATCAATCTGATGACAGCACTAATACTTGAAACTTTTTCGTGATCGCAACCACATCTTCAATGTTTGAATTTCTCGGTGAGAATCCTCCAACGATATGCCTGGAGTACCCAAGTAAGTTTGATTTTTTTTAACCGCTGGCCTTAATTGTTTCAACTGTTTCTTGAATCTCGTATCACAATTGTAATGCTTGTCCGTTTTATCTATTTCTCTGCGTTAACTTAAAACCGGACGTCCCTTAAGACTTGCACAACCTCCAGGAAGCGGTCTGCACACCTACAACATTGGCTAAACCGCTCCAAAGACTAAACAAAAACGCAAAGCACATCCTACCCCAGTACAGAATCACTAAGTTATACTAGGACTCACCATTACACGCGCCTGCAGAGATGGAAGCTAGACGCCAACATTCAGCCTGGCGCATCGGGTACATTGATCCATGCCCGAGATTTCTCGCAGTGTGTACCAGGAACCCACGACGTATCCTCGCCGTCTACATGTATAGCCCGGATTCCAAAATACAATCTCGGCTGTGTCCTACATTTTCCGACGATAAATGGATTGCAACTACGTACCTACCACTCGTTCGGGCTGCAATCTGTCGACTATTATGTTGAAATGCTGACTTGTTGCCGATGTCTAACCCTCCAATATATCCTATATTCCGGAAAAGCCGGCGTTTGGCTCTACCGTAAGGTCGCTTGCATGTGGACTACGTCACACACGCAGAAGAAAGACCAAGAAAAGACCATACTCATGCCATGATCTCTAAAATATACCCTGCATCTAGAATTCTGTCGCCAACAACATATGAGCGCGTTGGTGATACGTTGAACGTCCAGAGTATCCTCAAATTGAGTGACACGTTCTGATCATAACTTGTAGAATATCATGATCCGACCTTCGCAAATCAACGCTCCTCTACTTCCCCGCCAAACATATGCAGAAGCTGGTGTTTCGGATCCAAGATAACCCTAAAAACATACACACGAACTTACACGTCAGCCGGCGGGAATTCAGTACGCGTCGGAGGGTGGGTTCACCTGTCATTCGACTTGAATAACAGGCTTAAGTATCTATCAACAAGTGTATATAGTCCTTAGAACTTCCGTGAACTTTCTGTTACGTGATTTTTTAACCTTCTGATTTGCTGTGTTCTATGTACAGAGCACCGTTGCGACGCGTGCGGATACTGAGCAATTTTAGGGCATTATACTTAGAAGGTTCAAGGACATGCCAATCGGTTGCGGAGAATATATCTCAAAAATTTCTTCGAATTCTGGTGAGTTGGGCTCGGAAGTGAGGTGAGGTAATGTACGTATGCATGAGATGAGACTCAGATGCCAGTATGATGGAACTGAGGTGGAGATCTAGAAAGTTGCCGACACCGCTCCATATGCTTGAGGCAGGCCAGAGTCTTAGAAGAAGCAAAAAGGCGTGTGTTGTTATCATTAACAAGATCATTGCTCCATACTTGCAACAACCTAGGCAGGGTCGCAGTGAACTTAAAGGGTGGCAGTAAGAGCTGGATCAGAGGCTTCGGAGATCTGGATCAGGCAGGAACGCGGAGGCATTTGGGATGCAGGTCTTGACGGGTGTACATATGGGCATACTTACGTCTACCAACCTACCGTCCATCAAGAGCATCACGCTCACTCGAGACGGAGAAAGAAAATGCACCTCTGAATATATGGTGAGATGGCCGAGCGGTCTAAGGCGCCAGACTAAGGTACCTTGTGCTCAATATCTGGTCTCTTCGGGGGCGGGAGTTCGAATCTCCCTCTCATCATCGTGTCGACTTACATTATTATAGTATTTTTTCTGCTGGATAACTAGGCGCGAAGTGCAGCCCAACCGTTTTGCTCTGACTTGAGCGGCAGAAATGAAGCAGAACAAGTCAAAATTTTACTGTCAGAAGTACTCAAACATGCACATCTCCAAATTTGAATAGTTCTGCCAAACAGTGTACGAGTATTTAACCCGACCCATTCATGCCGTCCTCCTCTCCAGAGCACTCCATTGCTTCCTCAATCCCCGTTTGTCAATGACACTCGCTGGCATACAGTACACAGGATCCAGATCTACAAGTCCGGGGTATCCCAAAAGGGAAAGACCTGCAACACCGAATTGCGTGTGGAAGACATCCGCCTGGTCACCCGGTCTGTCGGCTATACCACCAGCATCTAGGTCCTATTTATGGGTCAGATTAGTGAGAAGGAGGAGTAATGGGCGGCGGCAGACAACAGACCTGTGCAGAGAGGATGAATGAAGTGAGCTTCTCGGCGTCGATCCAAGGGATTTTGTCAAGAATCGCCATGGCGGAGAGAACCCAGAAGCTGTAGCATACCTAAGATACATGGTACGGATATCAGGAATTGTCATCGTAAATAGAGGGAATCGACACACATCTTCTAACTTCTCCGGCCGGCCGTTGAGCCCACCGTTCGGGAGCTGACGCTCGCACAACCACCATCCCAGCGTCTCTACATCTACTACGTCGAGCCGGTCTAAGATCGCGAGAGCTGCTACGCACACGAACACTACCCCAACCTTACATTCAGCAGCGAATCTCATGATGAACAGCAAAGAATGAAAGTACATACCCTGAGCAGCGTGACTCTCTGCTCCGACGACGCTCCCGAATCCTCCGTCAAAGTTCCTACATCTAACTATGTAGTTGACCGTGCGCTCTTTCGCATCGCTGTCGAGAAGATGCAGCTGTCCGAGGAGAGAAAGGGCCTGGACTGCGCAGTAGAGAAACCGTGTGTCGATCTCCCCGAAAGAGTCCCCGGCAAAAACGCCTGAAGGCTGGTGCAGGGAGAGAATGACTGGGTAGAAAGTGTTATCTCTTGAAGATAAATAAAATGAAGGGAATACGAACATTTTGTAACGCGAGGGATGTCGATTCGGTCTAGCGCATCGTGCATAACCAGGATTTGAATAGCGCTGAGGGTAGAGTGTAGATGCGCATCGTGATCGGGGTGTGCGCCGAATGCACCTGAACTCTCTAGTTAGATTATTCAATGACTTTAAAGAATGAGAATGAATGGAATGAAGGTCGATGAAGGAAATGTATTAGAAACAGAAATCAAATGCGCAAACCTGCCTCATCGTCCCAGCAGCTCATCACGAATTCGATCGTTTCCACTTTATCAAGCGCATCACCATGTCCCATAATGACTAACGCCGTCAGGCCCCAGTAGATTGCGTTCAGGCGCAGGTGGGCTGTAAGGTGGTACGTGAGATCATCCTTGTTCTTGATGGACCAGGTAAATTGAGCTATTAATGTTATTTAAGGAGTTTGAGACACACTTCACCAAGAGATTTGATATACGAGACGTGTAGATGGATCGCGAGTTCGTGAGGAGATGGTGTGGATGGCGTCGAGGTCATGGTCATTGGGAGGTACACAATCAATTGTCTGATCAGACCAAGTTTGGCGCCAAACAAATGATTCACTCAATTTCCGTGGCGTCTAGGACAGAGCGTAAGATGCGGACCATTACTCAACTGTGTATCGTAGCAAAGAGAATTAAAAAAAAGGGGGGGCCATAAAAAGCCATCCCAAAATCATCGGATAATACGTATTACTAGTATAGATGATATAGTAATAGTTTGTAGATATTAAATATAGCATGAAGAAAAAAAACTTAAGACTAACTCATAACCCATATCCTCACTGCCTTTGACCCACCCACATCGGGGTGGAGCAACACTGCCGTGAGCCACGATTGGAGGAGTCGCCGCCGCCTATCCAAGAAAGCAGGTCGGTAACGGGATAACGGTGCTTTAGGAGGAAGGTTAGGGACAAAGTGTCGTTGAGGCCGCTGAGGACGTGGTGAGCAAGTATATAGACACAATAGAGCCACATCAACTCACTGGAAGCGTACGGCGAAGCGCGGCCTCTAGCTCGTCAAAATCACTGTATCGTTTCAGAGCATGAATCGTCGTTCCCTACAAGACAACAAGGCCAAAAAGTCATTGACATCCTAAAAATAGTTTTGAATTGAGGTACCTCTTTAGTCCGGATAGCACAATCATAAACTGACAGTTCGAACAAATTCTCATCAATTCAAATGCGAACTAGACACAATCAATGAGAAAACGCACCAATGTAGCGTCCCTCAGGCTTATCACCCACACTAGTCCACCCATCTATCCGTACATCCTGTGCAAATGCTAGGCTATTTCCCGAACCAGAGTTGTCGCCTAGCCATATGTCCTTGGAGAACACGGACGGTGGGCCAACCTGGAAACTACTCGCTATGGAGTGCGTATCCTCAGAGTCGGCGCCCTATATAATAGCATATTAGCTTTCCTTAGCAAAGAGCCTGCATTTTCGTGGAGCCCACGCACCATTGTGAGTTCGTCGTACAACCTCGACTCCTCTTCAACATCGATTGCGCTTGAGGGAATTATCTCGAGAAGGGACTTCGAGTTCGCAAAGGGATGCTCCAGCGTCGCTGTTGACGGCGTCGCAGGTTCGCTGGATTGCGTTGGCGAAGTCGGTGACGGAGGATTCATGGCCATTGGCTCTGCATTTGTCGAAAGGCAAACTTGAAAGCTGGAGAAAGATTTCGTCATCACGATGACACCACCTGGTCAATTTATAAAGTCAATAATTGGTGATTGCCGAAAAACCCGGAGCGTGGCGCTAGTTCCAGCTACCGCCCTTCAGCTCTCCTTTCGACGCAAGCAATATCCTACAAGTCAGCTAATACTTTTACAAGCAACTGAACTTTAATAACCTATGCTTCTATCACTCTTTCGAGGCCAATCGGCCGTCAGGATGGAGATGACCAGACCCTCGTTGCAAGAATGTGATGCTGCTAAAAGAGCAGGGGCCATGGTGATGATTCACATCTTTTTTCATACATTTTTACTTGTAGTTCTGACCGAATATCTGGGGCCTGATGCATTATTTCGGGTATCTTCTATTTGATGGATGCCATTGCTTGTATATGGACTAGTGTCGATCCCCCCCACTCGTTCCTAGGTTACAGCAGCTGGTATCTGCTTCCATTAATCGCCAATCAGGCTAATTGATATTAAACTCGTGCAATTGCTAACGCTTGAGTATATATAGCATTGGTCGTAGAATCAGGAATCCGTAGTTTTCGGGGTAACATTGACTGTGTCAACGATTATGGGGTATCAGCATACAAATCGACGTTTCGTCAGTGGTGGACTCCGTTGATTTTTAGGGACCATTGAAGTTCGATCATAGCTAGATGCTAATTTTGGTTAAGAACGTATCAGGGAATCGAAAAAGGGGTATGACTTTGGCGGTGGATGTTTGGAATCTGACCCGTTAGTATTGGGACGTAGTCGTGATATAAAACGTATTCATCCAGTCTTTACTAGATCCTCCACAGAAAACGATGTTGCCGCCTCTGAATATGTCCTGTATTTATTCAGATTCGCCGGCGTCATGAATTGTCCGACGGGAATGACCACAAGCCAGTAAGAGGATGTCCGAAGGGAATGCCATATGGCTCTGGCTTGCCTTGGCTTCATTGAATATATATACGAACTTTCAGCGTCCCGTTTGTCGTGCTACTATGTGCTACCTGGAAAGGAATACATCTAGAGAATTCTTGGTCTGGAATTTATGTGGGTCGAAGAAGTTGCTTCACGCACCATGTGGACTGTTTCATAGCTGTGCTACCGACTTCGTCACGTGGGCTGTTTCATAGCTGTGCTACCGACTTCGTAGTATACATCCGTGCACACGATGAAATCTTTCCTAAGGGGGATTTCAGAGTTCAGATTTCTTCAAATCTTGATCACTGTTTCAGGATCAGTTGGTCGTTTGTTTCTGTATTTTTGAAGCATGATGATAATAAGATTGCTGGAGTAGATTTTTGAGACTTCGATTTTCATCCCCGCAACAATAATCGAATTTCTCGTGTCAAACTCATTTTCATTGTCGAATTGATGCTGAAAACTACCCAGGCACAAGATAATTGTGGCCCAACCAGGTACATTTGTATTGAGCCTTCATGCCCGCATTGACATGAGAAGAGGTCGCCCATTAAACCTTAGTGGGCAGGTATGCGTGAAACTGCCTATGATAACGTCTCTTCGTGGACATCCCGTCTCAAGCAAGCTGGAAGCAATCCAACACCTATTAAAAAGGTCAAACAAAGGTGGCTGGCCTTTGATAATTACTTATTAGCGATCATATATGATTCTCGCTCGAATCGTTACCGGCATTCCATCACCACCTGATCTTAAAAGCCCCTGTGATAGGAAACAAATTCGTAGGTTTGTATACATACAACCTAGATCGTCACAGGACCTTGGTAAGAGAAAATAGCGATCAGAATCCTGCCTGAGCAGCAGCACGCTCCGCAATGGAGCCTCTGGGCTCCCATGCTGTAACATGGGCAGCTAGATCCTTCTTCCCATGCACTGCATCCTCGTCTATACCCCATGCACCCCCACCGGGCGTCTCGATGACCAAACGGTCACCCTTCCCCATCCACACCGTCGCCTTCCCACCAATGTTGATCTCACGTGTGGGTGTGGTGCTGTACTGCATATTTGGGCTCAGGTCCCCGTCTTCAGTGCGCAGGTGCTTTACCCACGTGTTCCTCCCCATCGCGCCCGGACCTCCGCCTTCCATGCCGTATGGCTGACGTGTGCGCCGCTGGAGTTAATGTGATGAAGCATAAGTCAAAATTGGAGAATATCATATGTGCAACCCACTATCCATCCCACGTGGGGGCCGTGGGTAGGAGGAGGAATGGAAAGTGGAAAGCGAACGCACGTACCTCGGAAAGAATG